TTTGTTGTTGTTGTTGCAGATAGGGTCTCATTCTGTTGCCAAGGCTGGTGTGCCAGGCTGGAGTGCTGTGTCACGATCATGACTCAATGCAGCCTCCATCTCCTGGGTTCAAGCAATCCTCCTACCTCAGCCTCCTGAGTAGCTGGGACTACAGGCATGTGCCACTGTGCCCAACTGATTTTTTTTTTTTTTTTTTTTTTAGAGCCTGGGTCTTGATTTGTTGCTCAGGCTGATCTCAAACTCCTGGGCTTAAGTGATCCTCTCACCTTGGCTTCCCAAAGTGCTGGGATTACAGGCTTGAGCCGCTGCACTCAACTGTGGGATGAACACTTAAAAAAAAAAAAAAGAAATGATTGATCTCTCATCAAAAATCTAAACACTAGCATAAACTTCACACAGTTGATACCTACTGTGAGATACCTTCCTAACATAATTGGTGGAAACTCAAGGGGGTTTCTGTCTAATCTAGTCCGCATGCCTAGTGTCATTTATTTTTAGGACTGCCTTCTCCCCCCAGGGGTGGGGTTGATATTTTGTGATCTGTTTGATTTCCTGTCCTATTAAGTCACTTCCTCTTGGGCATGGTCAGTCAGCACTGGTGTCTGCTTCCCATCTGTGCGTTGAAAGAATCATATTCAGACAAAGTGAGGTTTGGCAAAATTGATATTGGCTTTACCAAGTAAAATTCCAGTTCCAGGGATCTGTAGGTTTAAAAACAGCTATCATGGTCACTTTGGGCTTTTGTTCTTAAAACAAGAAAAGGCCTCTTTTTTAAAGATGCTACATACTTTTGTGGGGGTTTCAGTAACCCAAAAAGTGTATTAAAAGCTGATCATGGCTGTTTTCGTGAATGAAATGATTTTTGCTTATCCTTATTACTGATAATATATGCATACAGAGTTTGAATACTCCTAAATTAGGCTGATGGGAATCACTTAGGGATCTAATCTAGTTCCCTTTTTGTAAAGTAGGGAAATTGAGGCCCAGTGAGTTCAGGTGTCCTAATCTGTCTTTAAGCTTTTTAGAAACTGGCCTGTATAAGTTTGGAGATTTGAGTCCACTCAGTTTTTTGCATGTTTCTTTTATTCCTCTAGGTTGTTTTTACTTTTTGTTTTTCATGTTTCTTTTCCTTTTGGCACTTTTATATAGGTTTGCTATTTGGATATAGAAGGAACGGAGAAAATGGGCCATGGAAGAGGTTCAGAAGTCTTTACCTGAAATGGGTTGGTTAGAAAGTCTGCTGCAGCAGACTTAGTGTCCCTTTGGGATCAATCTGAAGCTATCTTACCTCAGCCAGTTGCTTATTCAGAAAGCTGAGAACCGGCTAGGAAGGTAATGGTGCTCACCTGTGAGGTATTCCAGAGAGCTGGGTTACCTTTATGCATTATGAGGAAGTAAACTAAGGTATGCAAACACATCACCTGCATGCCAGTTAGTATTTTTTGTTTTTGTTTTTCTTTACTACATTTCAAGAACAAGATAATTCCCAAGCAAGTGTGGGCCTGGCTCTTAAAGTGAGTCCGCAAGCTAACCTGTATTTAATAAACAAAGATTCCAGGGTTATTTTAAGCATTTGACAAGACTAAAATAGGAATCATTGTTCATATAACACCCAAAATAATATCTTAACTATGTTGACTTTAGTCTTTCCCATTAGCAAAGTGGTATTGTTTATGTGATTGTGTGTATTTGGGTGGTTTTTGTTCTTATCTTTATATTTTTTGATAGACCATAATGTACTTTAACATTTTTAATTTTTCTGAAGGTGATGACCTTCATATATTTAGATAAAAGTTATAGTTCATTGAAAGAGTGAAGGTTTGAATTATGTAAGCTATGTAATATTTAAGTCCTAAAGTTTACTGTGACTGAAAATTATCATAGACAAAGCTGGATAGAATATACCTCATGTCTGAATTTCTCAGAAGTTTAGTTTTCTTTTTTTTCTTTCCTTTTTTGGAATCAAGGTCTTGCTCTGTTGCCAGGCTGGAGTGTAGTGGTGTAATCATAGATCACTGCAACCTCAAACTCCTGGGCTCAAGCAGTCCTCCCACCTCAGTCTCTGAGTAACTGGGACTACAGGTGCATGCTACTAGGCCTGGCTAATTAAAAAAAATTATTGGCTGGGTGTGGTGGATCACACCTGCAATCCCAGCATTTTGGGAGGCCAAGCCGGCCTAATCACTTGAGGTCAGGAGCTTTAGACCAGCCTGGCCAACATGGTGAAACTCAGCCTCTACTAAAAAAGCACAAAAATTAGCCTAGCATAGTCCCAGCTACTCGGGAGGCTGAGGCACAAGAATTGCTTGAACCGGGAGGTTGCAGTGAGCAGAGATAGTGCCACTACACTGTAGCCTGGGCAAACAGAATGAGACTCTGTCTCAAGGAAAAAAAGAATTTTTTTTTTTTTTTTTTTTTGTAAAGGTGGAATCTTATTTTCTCTGGCTGGTTTTGAACTGCTGTCCTCAAGGGACCCTTCTACCTCAGCCTCCCAAAGCACTGGCATATACAGGTGTGAGCTTCTGTGCCTGACTAGTTTTCTTTTTAATCTGTTATTTCTGCTACTTCAGTATTGGGGCTCACCTCTTTATAATGTGGTCAGATTCTATTGTATTATCACTCCTCTCTCACTTCGGGATCCCAGAGCCAGACCCTGCTATTCAATAATTGACCAAAAGTTTTTCTCTGCTTACAATATTTATTCCAAATTAAATTACAGCCTAGCACCTGCAGTGAAAAAGGGCAATTGAAGGATAAGGAATGAAGGTAAATTCCAGTATAAAGGAAGAACTAAAGAGAAAAACACATAGTAAATGTTTAACTTTAAAGCAGCATAACATTGTGACCTTGTGTTCCTTAGTTCAAAGAAAGAAGACTAAAATAACCACAGCAAATAGCAGTGCTAATTCACTTGGTTATCCTTTCTTCTTGGAAGTACTACCGTTTTGATCTGTTTCCATAGTTTCAATTACATAGAAAAACTAAAGGGAACAGCTGCTTGGCTGAAAATGTCCAGATAAAATGAAATTTTGTCTACCTAAGCTATATAGTTCTTACCTTCAAGGAAATGCTACAGTTGGATGCTTTTTATACTTTCTTTCGCTAATTGACCATGCATGCATGTCTTTTTTGTGGAGACTTTAAAAATGTATACAAATAAAACTTTACTCCGACACTGATGATGCTTATCAAGTATTACAAACTGATATGGAAAGAACAAGCAAAATACACAGAATTCAGAGGAGGGGAGACCTTGGTTTAGGAATGAAGGGAAGCTGATTAACTGGGTAGTGGACTCAGGGAGGTAGGGACAAGGGCATTCCAGGCATTGGGAGCAAAAAGAGCAAGATCATGATTCAAAAAGTACATCTTGGGTTAAAGAGAGAAGTAAATGGTCAGCTGCTCTAGAGCATAAGGAGATGAGTTAAGGACAGGAAGGAGTGCTAAAAGAAAGAAGTGTGGAGAAGTAAGTTGGGTCAGATGTTGAAGGGCCTTGTTTGCCAGGCTAAGAAATTTGAACGGTCTCTGCTTGACATTGGTGGCCATTGAAAATCTGGGGTAGTAGAGCGATACGGCATTATGAGAGCTGCGCTTTTATAAGATTTATTACACGTTTGTATGTAGAATGAATTTGAGAAGACGCTAGAAACTGAATAACTCAGTCACTTCATGTGATAGGTTCACAACCCTTACAGAATTATTAGGAGGTTTAAAATAGGTAGTAACATAAAAGGCTTAGAATTGTACCTGGCACGCAGTGACCCCTGATGAGCATGGGCCATCATCGTCATCATTGTTATTACATGGAGGCGATGAGGGTCTGAACAGAGATAGTGGTAGAATGAAGAAAGGTTAGAAGATGGCCAGTGTTGGACACTGTTACTACAGCATTTAGTAGCTGATTAGAATTGAGGAACAGAGGAGAAAAAGTGCAAAATGATACTGAGATTTCAAGTCTGAGTGACTGGAGGATAGAAACAGAAATTTAGGAAAAGCAAATTTGGGGGGAAAAAAAGATTTGATTTGGGGCATGTGAGTTTCAGTTCTGGATAGCTTTCCGGTTGTAGGTGTCCAGCCAGGCAGCTTGTACGTGCAGGGCTGAAGCTTTGGAGAAATATCAAAATTAGTAATATATATTTCAAATTTAGGCTCATAGAGATTATAGATGAACCTAGGGGACAAACAGGAGGGAATCAAGAAAGAGAATCGACAGAAGAATAATGCTACATATCAAAGATGGAAGCACAAACAAGGTCTGATTCTAAAGTTGAGAAATCCAGAAATGAGCATGGTGGAGTCCTCTAGGTCAGTGCTCTCTAAGCTTTTATTGGTTGCACACCCCTAGTATCTGAGTGTGCAGTTCCCATGTATGAATTAATATTCTTTACTCCAAAAAGTTACTTGCTTGGTTTTTGAGTGTGTATTTAGTAAAAATAGAGAGTATCTGTAACTCCCCTTAATCCAGGCATATACAACAAGGTAAGGGTGTCATTGTGAGCCTACATCTTCCTCGCAGTACTAGTTCAACTAAATGAGAGCATCAGTATCAGCTCATAGGTTAAATATTTGAGAAGCTAATATTAACATTTTCTCTGTGTGCTGTGATAAGTATTTTACTTATCAAGGCAATACTGCCTTAGAATCTGGTGACCTTCACTTGCTTTGACGATGTACAAATATTTCCTTGAGATTAGTACATACACCACATTTCCATTCAGTACAAAGACTGGATTTTATTTGCTGAGTTGCATTGGGGTTAATCTTACTGATTTTAGCTTTGTAAAATCTCAAATGGCAGCATACTGCATGAAGCTGACCAAAAATACATATGTAGGAATTTGGCAGCATTTGCTGAGCAAGTAATTTATAGCCACATGATCATTATAGCACCAATGAGCAGCACACACAATTAATTACCAGGAATGGGACTAGCCTCATCTGTAGGATTTAGCAGAATTTTTAATATAAGACACCTATATTTAGTTTCTAGGCTACGTGTGTTGTAATTATCCTCAATCTAAAGGCAATAAGAAACTTTTCACTAGAGATAGTGGTAAATTTCCAGCCATTTTACCTGGTTATTTATAATCTGAAGTGCATGATTATTTTCCTCTTGGAAATTCACTGGCCAGATGTCCATGAAGCTCCCCTTAAAGGTGGTTAAGCAGTGTAATAGTATGCAGTGTTTATATGAAGCATAGTACTTGATGGTTAGTGATTTCATACTCATTCTCTTATTTGGTATTTACCTAGTGTAAGTAGGACAGATGACAATCATCCCCATTGTGAGGGTGAGAATAGAAGGCAGAGCCTAATGACAAAGGCTTTTGCTCTTTATACTGCACTTTCTTACTGTTTATGAAAAACAGTCTATAGCTGTGTCCATCTTAGGGACTAATTCTTTCTCCTACCTTCCCTTTTTCCTGTACTTGCTGGAGGAGCACAGAACTCCTGAAAGGCACAGAACTTTCCCAGAGTTATCATTGAATCTCATATGCTACGTAACAGGCTAATCATAAAGGGAGCAAACATACAGTGAAATTGAATTCCCTTCAAAGTGTTTGTCAAAATAGGTAAACACAGTCACTTTTTGGAACAAAGCATAGTACAAGTAGGTAGATAATTTAAAATTGAGCACTACTAGTGTTTTGGGAAATTGTCTTTAATGAATTCTAAATTCACTAAGGTCAGATAAGTAGTTGAAGGACTTTTTCCAAATAGATATGTGCTCAGAATTGTATTAGGTGTTCTGTGGTGTTTCTTAGCTATGCGAATACACACTTTGTGGTATGTATTGAGTAGCTCCCAAATTTGGGTTCTCATCTTGAACCACAGAGATTGATATTTTTAGATGAATCATGGTGTTCTTAAATAATAGTTGCTTTAGATTTCCTGGCTGTGATTTACAATTCTTGCTTACCCCTAGTGAGGTGGAACAAAGGAATTCTGATTTCTTGGAGGAATGGCTGGATAATTAAGATAACATTATCACCATGTTCACAATGTAGCAACAGCTATAATTTTGAAACACTGCATAGAATTTAGCCAGGTGATTCCTCCTATAAGTGGGTAGCAATGGAAATATCTCCAATAAAGCGGCTGGGCTAAGGCTGTTCTTCTGAATTATAGTGAAAGGATAAAGTGACTTCCCATCACCAGGCTACCTGATCCTTTCTTATTGGTTGGTAACTAGATGACCTAGTCCTACTCCTTTGATGCACCTGCCGTTTAACAAGCTTGAAAACCTTAAGCTTTCTTGTTTAAGCTTTCTACTTTGAAATGTGTTAAGAATCTGGGCCAAGTGCGGTGGCTCTCGCCTGTAATCCCAGCACTTTGGGAGGCCAAGGCGGGCAGATCATGAGGCCAGGAGATTGAGACCATCCTGACCAACATGGTGAAACCCCATCTCTACTAAAAATATAAAAATTAGCTGGGCGTGGTAGTTGGCGCCTGTAGTCCCAGCTACTCGGGGCTGGGGGGCTGAGGCAGGAGAATTTGCTTGAACCCGGGAGGTGGAGGTTGCAGTGAGCTGAGATTGCGCCACTGTACTCCAGCCTGGTGACAGAGTGAGACTTTGTCTCAAGAAATGTGTAAGAATCTGGCATCTTGATTTTTTGGAGTACTTTTTCCAGGAGAGTGATCAGGAAAACTAAAAGTAAAAGGCTTGGTGGATTTGTGTTCCAGGCTGAGGAAAGCTGTAGGTTCTTAAGTTTTGCGTTTTCTTAAGAAACTTGTCTAGGTACTTGTCCAGGCATGGTGGCTCACAGCTGTGTAGTTTTTGTTATCAATTCTAAAGTAAAAGGAGAAGATTTAATGAAAGAGCACAGAACTGAGAATCAGAGGACATGAATTTTAATTTCAGTTGTGGCATACAACTTGCCCTGGTGATTTCGGCCAATTCCTCAGTCTACCTGGATAAAGTATCTTTATCAGATGGGAATATTTGTACCTGTGTTGTTTATCTTAACGTGTTTATAGTAAGAAACATATAAAATAATGTGAAGCTACTTTAAAAAGTGTAAAGTGTGTACAAATGGAAGGGATTAGCATAATTATCTCAGTCACTTTGCACTCTGAGGTAGTCTTTATGTTCTTAGTTCCTGACAGTTGTATACATGAAGGTGAGAGATTTAGAGTTTGGTTGGCTTGGAAGATTTGTCTCGTTTCGTGTCCTTTTCCTTTCTTTCTTCTCTTCTAAACATTTAAATCAATGCTAAAAGACACTAAGCAGAGGAAAGAATTCACAGTGTGTCTGAATGAGCAGAATCTAGACAGCTAAATCAATACAGCCAAGCTCATATTGACATTCTTATAATGCCCTCTAGGTTTTTAATTTTCTGAAAATTTCAGAAAATTTTCTGCCTCCCTTATCCCCCCAACTCCCTGGTTTTTAGGTGTATTAACTCACCAGCACAATCTTCCATTTTTCAGTGGAGCCTATGGTTAGATAAATGTCTACATTTGTGCTACATTTTCCGAAGTAGAACAAGTTTTCTCCGTCCCCACTCTTGTGGCTCTTCCACTGGATTACTGCACAAAGGTTACTGCACAACTGAGCACAGATACTTAAGAAGGAATTTTCCCATTTGTCAATTTCAAAGAAAAGCACCTAGAATGAGGCCAGGGATACTTGGGGTCTTAAAATAGTTCTTGTCCAGGCATAGTGGCTCACGTCTGTAATCCCAGCACTTTGGCAGACCAGGGTGAGAGGATCACTTAATCCCAGGAGTCTGAGACCAGCCTGGGCAAGTTAGCAAGATCCTGTCTTTACAAAAAATTTTAAAAATTAGGCAGGTATGGTGGCACGCGTCTTTAGTCCTCACTGCTTAGGAGGCTGAGCAGGAGAGGATTGCTTGAACCCAGGAGGTGAGGTTTCAGTCAATCATGATCACCCCACTGCACTCTAGCTTGGGCAACAGAGCAAGGCACTGTATAAAGAAAAAAATTTTTTTAATTAAAAAAATTATTGAGGAGCCTGTGTTTGTTCATTCAGTAGATGTGTATTGAATCCCCACTGTGTGCAAAGCATGTTTGCCTTGAGGATGTGCCAGAAGCAAAATGAAATGTCAGACAAACGGGAAAAAATAGGAGCATGAAAATTTTAAGGTTATAAAATAATATGCTTCCCAAAAAAAGATAATATGCCTCCCAAAAAAGATAATATGTCACACAGATCTGAAGCAAGTGAATATGCTAATTAGAGAAATAGATTTGTGTCTCAGGAATGGTTTCGTGCGGAGAAAAAAAATTTAGTCATCACCGATTAGTGAATGGGTATACAGTATTTAATTTCTTTACAGTTGTACTGTAAAGGCAAGCTTCTTATCAATGCTATTCCAGAAGAACCTTAAACATCCACGATATAATCTGAGAAATTCCAACTTTCCAGAACATGTTCCTTTCATGTTCACTTCAGGACCTCAGATATAGATGAAAGTGGGCAGAACTCTCTTTAGAGCTCAAAACAGAATCTTTTGCTTGGACAGTGGGGCCAGGTTGAGTTGGGAGCTGCCTGGACTCTAGGTTTCCTCTACCCTGTAACATAAACAAGATTCCTTTCACAAGACAAAACAGGCATGTACTCCTAGCTTGTGGAATTGTGAGGTATCCAAAGAGATGGTGATGGTGGTGGTTGTGGTTTTTTGTTTTGTTTTTTTTTGAGATAGGATCTCTCCCTGTTGCCCAGGCCGAAGTGCAGTGGTGAGATCATGGTTCGCTGCAGTCTCCCAACTCCTTGGCTCAAGTGATCCTCCTGCCCCAGCCTCCTGAGTAGCTGGAGCTACAGGTGTGTGCCACCACACCGGCTAATTTTTTTTTTTTTTCCTTTTTTATAGAGACGAGGTCTTGCTGTTTCCCAGGTTGATCTTGAACTCCTGAGCTCAAGCAGCCCTCCTGCTTCGGCCTCCCAGAGTGCTGAGATTACAGGCATGAGCCACCATTCCTAACCCAAGGAGACATATTCTAAGAATTTAAACGTTTTTGGATTAGCATGGAGGGAAAACCTAGTATCCCTATTGATCATTGACACTCCCAGGGATTTAAATTTGGATCATTCCCAGTCATTTTCAGCTTGAGTTCTTTGCTTCTTTGGAACTAGAGTACATTTGTTCCAAATTTAATAGTTTAAAGGGCTTTAAAAATTATTTCGTGTTTATAAAAGAGATGGGAGAACATCTTTCTCTATTTTAGTATGTATTTCCATGCATCTGAAACCAGGTTTTTTAAAGAAATGTGTTAAAAACAAAGTAAGTAGTCTAAATTGTAGAGAGAAAGAAGCTAGTTGGTCTTTAGGCTTGGTACTGTGTCTGGGACTATTCAGACCAGTAGTCGGTGTCTTGTCCAGCCTTGAGCAGTCATTATGATATGGTGCCATCTGGCAGTTGTATGAAGCTTACTATTTTTTGAGGCCTTCTAACATGTGTTTTAGCATTTATGTGTTTCAACTGCCCTGTGGGATGTTTCTGTAGGTGAACAGAGAAGTTTCTAAGAAGTTAAGAGATTTGCTCAAGATCACAGTTTGCCAGAGAGCAAGAACCCCCAGATCCAATACATGTTATTTATTTATGTGTTTACCTTGTGCTTTACTGCCCCCCAACTGCTCACAGCTGAGTATTCATAGGTGCTGCTGACCTGCCTAGAGACATGGAAAGGGAAGTGATCCAATTTGAGACTGCTCATTTGTCTTAACAGTTTGAAAATACGTATACCTTAAACAGTGCAGAAAATGAGAATGAACAAGTTATGATAAATCAAGAACAGAATTTTAGAGCTTTTGCTTTTTTTTTTTTTTTTTTTTTTTGAGATGGAGTCTCACTCTGTCAACCAGGCTGGAGTGCAGTGGCACAATCTTGGCTCACTGCAACCTCTGCTTCCTGGGTTCAAGTGATTCTCCTGCCTCAGCCTCCTGAGTAGCTGGGACTACAGGTGCGTGCCACCACGCCCAGCAAATTTTTTGTATTTTTAGTAGAGACGGGGTTTCACTGTGTTAACCAGGTTGGCCTTGATCTCCTG